TTTTTTTTTTTTTTTTTTTTGTAATTAGGAGAAAAATGAAAGATATACAAAATCGTTATTTCTAATCGAAAGTGAGTCATGGGATTATGTGAATGTTAAGGAATTATCCACTTTAATCCTTAAAAGATGGTTTGGTTTGAAGGGAAGATCTCCTCTGTTACTTTTATACTAAATAAGCTGTTAAAAAATTTTATTTTTAAAATAATTCACACTTCTAAGTCACAAAAGTTGATTAAGAATCTTCCACCATGTTCATGAACAACTTAAGTTATTTAAATTTGTAATGCAACACCTTCAAATCACTATGGTTTTTTAATTTGAGATTTGAGATGCTAAACAAGGCATTATGATCCCTAGACAATTAAAGAAAGGTTGAGGAGTTGAAAATGATTGATCCGTGTATTTCATATATATATACACACAAAATTGTTTTACAGAATGGATTGTATGTAGTTGATATTGTAAAATTATTTAAATATTTTTAATTTTATTTTATATAATTTTTTTAACATTTAAATAATTTTATAAGAACAAACTACATATAATATGTCTTGTAAAAGAGTTTTCATATATATATATATAACACTTGAACTTTATTATGATGCACTCGAACATGTACTATTATTGAGAATCAACTGCATGCAAAGCTTGCAATTCACTCCAAGAAAAAGCTTTTAGGAACCTTTTAAATTATCTTTCTCTCCAAAATTATTTCCATGAATACATCTACCCACCTTGTAATGACTAATGAATACAGAGGGGGGGTGCAGGAGCTTCATGCACACTCACTCATTATCACGTAACTGGACCACTTCTTTAATTCATCTGTGGCATAGTGCTGGGCAGCTAGCAAGTATTTCAAGTCCGTTTGGCTTATCTTAAAGAATTGTCTGCTATAAAAGTTGAAATATGACCACACGTAGTATCTTAAAAAATTAATATTTTCTAGTCTTTTTTTATAAGTTGTTTTCAATTTCTAAAGAGTTGGAAGCTAAAAGTTCCAAGTTTGTTTCTACTATATAAAATTTGAAGCACGACCATACATAAATTCTTAAAAAATTACTGTTTTCTTAGTTTTTTTTTTTTAATAAATCATTTTAAATTTTTAAAGGGTTGGAAGTTAATGCTCCAAAGCCTATTACTGTTATAAAAGTTGAAGCACGACCACGCGTAGTATCTTAAAAAATTAATTAATTTTTTTTTTTATAAATTGTTTTCAATTTTTAAAGCGTTGGAAATTAATGCTCCAAGCCTATTACTGCTATAAAAGTTGAAGCACAACCAAACGTAGTATCTTGAAAAACCAATGTTTTTTGGTTTTTCTATAAGTTGTTTTCAATTTCTAAAGGGTTGGAAGCCAAAGCTCCAACTCTATTACTTCTCAAGTAGGTAAAACTTTTACTTATAGTGGAAAATGATTTTACATAATTTTTTCATACAATTTTATATAGTATTTTATTATTAGTTTTTTTTACTTTATTTAAATTTATAATATTCTATATATATATTCATTTAATAACATGTGAAACTTATAAATAAAAATTATATAAAAAGATTTTTTGCATATCATACCATTTGATAATTTTATCAATTGTTAAAATTTAGGCTAGACATTTACAAAAGTTTACAATTAGGCCAAATAGACTCTTAATATATATGTTCTTTCTTTAATTTAATCCCATTTTAGTTTGAGAGATTTTGTTTACTACCAACAGGAAAAATTGTAGCTCATTATTATTATTATTATTATTATTATTATTATTATTATTATTATTATTATTATTA